TCATACATAATAGGATTGTGAATGAATTGTATATGTAATATTCCTTTCTCTTATTTGAGAAGGATGAATATCTTGGTTTAAATATAAACGACGTGAGTGTAAAATTTTACTAAACTTTCTGAACTATTGATTAAACTGCATGTATGTACTTGCGTGAATATAATCTTAAATTGAACTGAATGTATATAAAAACCTGCTACTAAGATTGAAAGGATTAGTGTCCTTTATTAGAGTTGATCACAATTTGAAAATCTACTATTGAAACTTTTGAAAGTGTGTATTAATTAACACAAATATGTATAAGGGTGTGCTTGAATATGGAGTCCTTAGAGAGGACGAGAAAGTCAAGTAAATTGTTAAAGGAAAGAAATGATAGAAATTGATTTGATGCATCATGAACATGTGAAAGAAGGAATCGTTGAGGCTACAGTTGGCATAGTTGTGGGGCGCTTTGTGTTAGGTTCACGATGAACCTTGGTGGTGGTAAAGGGGGATGACCCAATTGCACAGAGTAGCTCACTGTGACCAGGTCACTTCTCCAGCAAACATTTATCAATCTTAACGTGAACACCCATTATCAGGGTCGTGGTAGGTCCATTCCTGAACGGGACGCCTTTGGCGTGTGTGTTGTCGACAAATTGATATATGTATAATTTTAATGTGCTTGGATGTGAAGTAGGGAATGGAGTCCTCCGACCACCTCTGACGTTAAACGGTTATGATGATGATATTATAAGCAATTGAGATCACTACATCATGTGACTAAACAAGAGAGAAACTCATAAATTACTTGCATGATGCATCATCCCGCATATGCAATTGTGTTATGTTACTCTATGATGAATTGTTGAGGCAGAAAGATCATAAATGTACTCCATAAATCATTGTGTGGCTTGATTTGTCTTAATCGAGTGTATGGACTCACCCTTGTGTGTTTTGTGCCCTTTTCCTTGCTTGTTTGTTTGTTGCGTGTGTGTGCAAATAAATGAGACTTAATCGAGGTATAGATCCTATCATTAGCAGAGGACATGTGGTTCTACAATTCAACCTAGCGATGGTGTATGCCCTAATGATGACCTTGGGTCCAATTCGTTGAGTCGTCCTTCGAGGCACATGGTCAAACTCTTCAAGCAACGCATTGCCTCTTGTGGATTTATTGTGACTGCCACCTTTATATAAATATAGGGTGAAAACTGCTCTTAGGATTAAATGGAATAACTAACTATTTTGAGATATACTTTGTGTACTATAAGTGTCAGCCATTATATCTGCATCGAAACAAAGATTATTTCATATTAAGTGATTATGCAAGAATGCCAATATGTTTTTATTAAGTAAAAAATAAAATAAAATAAAATAAAAATACGTTATGCACGTTAACTCTTTTATCTACCTCATGTAGTTTATCTACCCAAGCACGCATAGAGATGTTATATGCTACTTTGTACATGAAGGTATGAGGCACCTAGGTGAGCCGTTGGAGTATATGTTAGGAGTGTTACAAATTCCTTTTTTAATGAGATATACAAAATTAGATTGAAATCTAATAGAATGGATGAGAATGCAAGATATTTAAAGTTCTAATAATATAGATAGACAATATAATGAAATGTAAACTTACAATAAACGTAAAGAGATAAAGGACAAGAGAATGCAAAATCAATTTATACTACTTTGGTCACCTCTTGTGACCTACATCCAGTCTCCCAAGCTTGCTTGAGAGTTCCACTAACTTTAAATTCTTTACAACTAAAGAGTACTTTTACCCTTTAAAAATATCCCTCACAACGTAGGTCACAACTAGACAATTGACATGCTTTTAGAAAACATCCATTAGAAATAAAATATTTTCTAAAACTAACTTAGAGATTTTGACATGCTTTTAGAAAACATCCATTAAAAATAAAATATTTTCTAAAACTAACTTAGAAATTTTTAAGGGCTTGCAAGAGTGAATCTAAAATTAAATTTTGAATTTAATTTCAAATTTTAGATTTTTTATTTTGAATTTAAATCTAGCATCTTTCCTTCTTGATACATCATATCTTTATTAAAGATAAAACATATATTTAAGAGAAAAAATTATGACAACAAGTCACATTTAATCATTCTTATCTTGATTCTCATTTTATTCTCAGCCTCAAGATAAGTTTTGATGTAGTATATTAATTATCTCTAGAGTATTAATTTTTCCTGAAAATTTTATTTGAAAGTAAAATCTTATACTGCATTAATTTATAAAATTAATAAAATTAATTTCCTCTTGAAAATAATTTTTTAGAAAGTCATTCATGATCTTTGCAAAAATTTTCATCAATTAAATAAATTAAGTGGATGCTGAGAAACTCTAGTATGTTCCAACATAATTTTACCCAACATATATTATGACTTTTATTAAAAAGTCCTAAACAAAGATAAAATTTTCTCAAACCACATTTAATTAATTAAATAATAATTTAATCTACCTCTACAAGAATCAATCTATTCAGACAATTATTCTCTCTATTTAATGTAGCCATTCGTTGCAACAAGTTTACATTGACCAAACTCTACAAATAGGTTTATAAAAAAAGAATGTTACATATAAAGTTTATTGATGCTTATACCTTAAATATATTATCGTAGAAATTGTAATATCCTTAATTTTTATGCCCTAAATAAAAAAAACATTAATATTCATTTAAAATTATAGAAGTATGATTAAAAGATTTTATAAATAAGTTTATTTATCGAAAGAATAGAGTAAATAACTTTATGTTTAAATAATATATAAAAATATAATCTAGAACTCTATAAAATAAGTTTGTAGAATAGAAGTTATCATCAATTAAAAAATTATTATTCTAGGCCAACTTATGTAAGTATTCACTTTAAAGAAAAAGAAAAATTTGTTAAAAGGATCAAATATAAAATGGAATTTAGATTAATTAAGTGCACAAAGTACAATTGTTTTTAAATTTAATAAATTTGGATTTATAATTATTTTAATTTTAATAAATTTTCAAAAATATTTAAATTACTAATAATAAATAAAACTAAACTAAAGAAGAAGAAAATTAAATTAAAAAATAAATTGTGAAAATTTTAAATATAACATTAAAATTAAAAAATTAAATATTTCATGCTTGATAAATTACATGGCATAATCAATGAGAGAGTTAACACCAAAAAAAAATTCTTATTTAAAATGGCTATTAGAAATACTTTTATTTAAAAATTTAGACATAAATGATATAGAGATAGATTATTTCATTCTTATTGCAGATTATTAGCTCGAAACTTGTTCAATAAAACCACAAATTCAAAGAAATATTAAACATATAATAAGTTTAAATATTTGTTTATTTTTAAAAATTAGACTTTCATAATTTCTGTAAAAAAAGTATACATTTTTAAAATTTTAAAATTACAATATATATATATATATATATATATTAAGGAGAGAATAAATTTCATTATTTTGATTTTATACAAGGTTTAAAATAAATAAAAATTTAAAATAAATCATGGTATAAACATAAGTTTTTTTAATCTATTTAATGAAAAATAATAAATATGACAGCCAGTTTTCATCACAAGTGAAAGCGTAAAACAATTTGTCATTTCCCTTCCGTCATCTCCCTTTGTTCTGTATGCTTATCATGCAAATTTGAGAGCCAAGGAGGTATAGGGATCTTATAACCCATTTAGGCATCTTCTACACTGTCTCCTAACAAGGCTGGTCAATCAATAAAGTAAAGCAACAGAAATAGACAGCATATCCATATAAGAATATAAACAAAATTCAAATCAGTGACCCATCTGAGAGACTGTGAGGTACCACCTGTCCATCCAAGTGAAGAGCCAAGGCAACCTATCTTATACAGAACATGACATTATAGAGATTGGAACAAGTACATTAGCATGCATATACTTAGTTACGCTGCAATATCTTCCAAGGTCATCTTTTGACAGATCTGGAGCAATTTTTACAAGCAATGGAGAGGGCCCTCCCCATTGCATTTCATCACGAGCAGCTTCAACCTACACAAACATTATTATGTCTCTTTATTGCAACTCCAAATACAGCAACCTACACAAAACGAAAGTCATTGAATCATTAGGATTATTTTAATAATTGATACAATGGCATTAATAATATATACATATGTAACTTATAAAATGGCTCTAATTAACGATTTAATATGACAGTGATTAAATATAAATATAAAATTATTAGAGATATAATTATAAATATAATTCCATTCACACTATTTTAATTGATCACTAATACTAAAAAAATGGGTTTCTTTTTTTTTTTATTAGTATAATAATCTAAACCGGCTCATTAAGTCTATAAGATCCACCATGTCAACTATGAAACAACTTATTAGAAACACAAGACAGTCAATCCAAAATGTCACGAAATTTTCCACTTTTTGGGAGAGGTGAATAGAGTCCTAAATAATGAAAGATATGTAAAAAGCAGGTTCGATTACGCCTATTCCTAATCTTAAATGGAATGGAACAACGCAGGGATCTATATGTAAACATAGTATCTATTTAGATACGCTCGAATGACCCCTTCTCATAATGAGAATATATATAACCCTATTACAGTATGGTCCGGTACATAAATAAAAAAGTTGTTACCAAGCAGAAGTTAGAGGTATACACGAATACAAAAATAAAAGACGAGTTATTAAACAAAGGTTAAGAATATATGTGAATTATAATTTTTATGGTCTGTATCACCATAATTTTAAAATGAATTTTCTTTCCACCATGTGTAGACCAGCTCAAAGAGAACAAAGAAAAAATATTAGACTCAACAACATTAAACTATATGTATTATGGTGTTTGCACCACCTCATCCATGACGCTATTCAACAAAAGATGGACAACTATTACAAGATACCATGAGTGACTTTTTCTAATGCAGTTACGTATGACGTGCAGACTGTTGCTATAAAAGCAACTTCAAAAGTGAGTTAAACAACCTAACCAAATAAGAAGGAAAAATGAGTTCTGATTCCAAACAGAACAAGCCTTCCGCAGAGGTAGCAAAGGTCGATGATGTTTATCTCTCTGCTTTAGTACTAAGTTTCAGTCGAGTCTTCCCTGCAATTCTAAATGCTGCTATTGATCTCAATTTGTTTGATATCATAGCAAAGGTACAAAGGTCACGTGATTCAAGCGTGTCTGCCTCTGAGATTGCTTCTCTGTTTCCAAATCCACACACAGAATTGGCTAAAAGGCTTGACCGCATATTGCCTCTGCTAGCTAGTTATTCTCTTCTGAGTTGTTCCATTCGCACCAATGAAGATGGTAAGAGAGAAAGGGTTTATCTGCTCTCACCCGTTGGGGAATACTTTTCACATCTCCATGATGGACACTCTTTGGCTCCTCTCTCAACCTTAAAACACCACGGATTTCATGACCTTTGGTAGTTAATTTATAATTTATGAGCTATTTTTTTAACTTATTTATTTAGTAATTAAGAAGATTTACATTTTATTTTTAATATGATTCTTTGTCTTTGTTTTCTGATAGGAAAAATGTGAAGGATGCAATTTTGGACCCTAATTGCAATACACATTTTGAAAGTGTCTATGGAATGCCTGCGTATGAATATATGGAGACAAACGAGGAGATGAATAAATATTTTTACGAAGCAATGAACTACTCTGCCCCGTTAGATGTGAAAAGGGTACTGACAATATATAAAGGGTTTGAGGGAGTGTCAACGTTGGTTGATGTAGGAGGGTCAACAGGGCAGACCCTAAAACAGATTATATCTGCTTATCCTTCAATCAAAGGAATTAATTTTGACTTGCCTCAGATGATTCAAGGGGCAAGTCCTTTTCCAGGTAAGAAAATTAGATAGAGTCTTTGAATTTTTAAAAGATGGAATAACTAATTAGCAAACACTCATTTTGCATGAAGGGATAGAGCATGTTGGAGGAGATATGTTTGAAAGTGTTCCACAAGGTGATGCAATTATACTAAAGGTTGGTGAACAAAATGAGAGTTCCAATTTTTAAACAATTCAATATAACAAGTAATTTTTAAAATTTTTCTTGTATTTGGTCATTTCAGCTTGTATGTCATAATTGGCCAGATGAAGATTGCATAAAATTTTTAAGAAATTGCCACAAAGCTTTGCCGCAGCATGGAAAGGTGATTGTTCTGGATTTTATAATGCCAGAAGTTCCAAACTCAAGCAACATATCTAAGCATATTTGTGCCATCGACAATCTCATGTTTTTAGCACACGATGGAAAGGAAAGAACTGAGAATGAATTTCGGAACTTGTGCAAGAGTTCTGGTTTTTCCAAATTTCATATTGCATCCACTGACCGCACAGCTATGACAGGAGTGATGGAATTTTATAAGTAGAAATCACTGAGCAGGAATTTGAAATCTCTGTATATTGCTAGCAATATAGAATAAAAGATAATCTAGCAATAAATAAAAACACGTTATGTAACCTTTAGTCTCGCACTTGTTTTCCTACGTTTGCATCTTTTCTATGTATGTATACTATAAATAATGTTGTTTTGTGTTATGTTATTGTAAGATTTACTTGCGTATACTAGTATCTAGCACGTGTATGAAAATTTTCAAGAACCAGTATTTAAAATATAACTGCTAACGTGGATTTTTGAACCCAATCTTGGAAGGAAATCATTTTTTATCAAAAGGTGTTTCAAGTGAGATAGAATTATCATGCCTTTTTATTTAACTTTTAGTTATAATAGATTCGTAATCAAACAATAAAAAGAAAAATAAAAATGATTTAAGGATGAGAGAATGCAATATTCACGCTATGCCAGAGAACCAGAGTAAATGACATTCATCGCGAATAAAAATCAAATAGAAAAATATTAATAACATATATTTTTTTACACAAATTATTAATTAAAATTATGAGTTTTATTTTAAAAATAACGGTTCTCACTTATATATTTATAATTTTTAAATAATAAAAAAATTATATTTAAAATATTTTTAACACTCTTCAAACAATTGTATTCCTAAATAACACAATTTTTATATAACAAGATTAAAATTAATAAAAAAAATATATTATCAATCTTAAATATTATAATCTTAATGAACTTTATAATTTCATAATTTTTCATTCTTAAATACATATTGAAAAAATCATATTTAGTATTTGTTATAAACTTTTAAGAGGTTGTCTAGAATGGGATTTTTGAAAGGGAAGGAAAGCGAAAACAAATTATGCATGTTAGATAAATATATTTAAAATTAATATTTTTAAAATAAAAGATATAATTTAATATATTTTTAATCAAGAATTTTTAATAAAATAAATAATTTTTCAATTGTATTCCTAACAAACACAGTTTTTATTTAACAAAATTTTATTAGCATTTATAAGATATAACAAAAATAAATCTATTATCAATATTAAATATTATAATTTTGAATAAAATATTTCAATTTAATAATTTCTCATTCTTAAATACGTATTAAAAAATTCATAATAAAATATACATACATCACTCAAAGGACAAGAGTACAAACCTCGTTCAACACTTCACAGTTTGACCAAAAACAAAGAAAGATAAAACAACTCCGTCGTTTTCTTTGATTTTCTTTCTACAGGTATTTAGCAAACTTGGAGCACGTTTGGTTTGCATGGATTCTGATTTCATTTTCATCAAAAATAGAAAACTATGAGGAAATTAACGTGTTTGGTTATACTTTTTGAAAACATATACTTTCTAAAACTGAAATTCCCACGTTTTCGGTGAAAATATAGAAAAGATGGTCACAATTTTGTAATATCAACGAGATAGATCCCAAAACACGGAGTGACGTTGGTTTGATTTTTTATATATAAATTTTTAAATTGGGAAAGGATTCTTAAATTGGTATAAATTTTTCATTTAAATTAAATCTAATAGTCAGTGAAGTAATAAATTATAACCTGTTAAATTTAAGTTAAATGAAAAGTTGGTGTAATACATAAAAGTATATCTTCTTGTATAATTCTAAAAATTATTAGATTAAATTTTAATCTTTCAATTAAATTATATTTAACGATCAGTAAAATAATAAATTATAACTTATTAAATATAAATTAATAAAAAAATTTAAATTGAATATAAAATTTTTTAAACTTGATTTTACCATATATATATATATATATATATATATATTAAATAAATTAGAAGAAAATGATATTTAAAAATTATCAATGACAATTTTTGTTATAAGTGCCAAAAAAACAATTAACTAAAAGTTATAACATTTAAAAAATTATCGACAATAATTTCTTAAAGGAATACTAAAATTTTTTTAAAAAATTATAGTAAATTTTTAAAAAATAAGAAAAATTTTAAAAATTAAAAATCATTAATAATAAATTTTAAAAAATAATTAAAATATAAAAAAATATTATTACAATTTTTAAAATATTTTTAAGACACTATATTTGTATAAACATATATTTTTTGATACGCACAATATATATTATTAGAAAGAGTTCAAAGGAGAACTCAAAATCTATATACAAAGAAAAAATTAATACTTACTCAGGAAAATAAAAAGCAGAAACATACTTATGCAAAGTTAAGACGAATACAATTTCGTGAGTTCATATACCAATCAACTAACAAAATAGTTTCTCCCTTACTAACAAGTGATAGTCATTTCCAAGATCTTAGAATAATAAAATCTATGACTTCCCTTTCATCCAAGATACTATTAGAAAATATTATTCTATTTATATGTAACCACAAAGACCACATTATACTTACCCAAACAATTAATAAACATATCCCTTCTCTTTATTACAACCAATATCAACCCAAGAAGGCAAGTGAATCTATAAATTTAAAGGCAAAATCAGTGAAAATCCAAGTTAACGCGCAGTAAAGTACCAAATTTGAGATAAAACTGAGCACGTTAAAAATAAATGAGTTGGAAGTTCCTCCAAACTATAATAGAAGCAACAAGTTATATCACCAATTTGAAGACCACAATTAATTAGCAAACATTTATAAGGAAGTGCATTCAACAACAATTGCCAAAAAAATATTAGACATTTAAGAGGAACCTTTCCTCTCTATAGCTTTTGCAAGGTATTCGCCGTACACTGATATACACTATTAGGACCACCAAAAAGTTCAAATAACCATGAATACTCATATTGCACTGAATAACAACATGAAGAATTCACCCTTCATACCTATTTATCTTCTTATAGCACCTTAATAGAAACTTCATCCACAAGTTCCAACAAAAGATTAAAGCTTGAAATCTTATGTTGAAAGAATTCTCTTCGCTAATTAACATCCCAAATCCACTTAGTATTATCATGAAAACCATTCTTCAATACACAAGATTCACTATTCCTCTTATTTATTTTTATAGCTTGTAATTGCTTCTCTTTGTCAGGTTTTTTTTTTTTAATTTTATTTCATCGATTAATATTGGTAATGCTAGTTTTAGAACTTTTACTTTGCAGTACAAGACCCAAATTATTGCCCATGTCATTATCACTTGTTATTTATTTGCTTGGGTTAGAGATATGGTATCGGCCTGTATTTATTATTAGCTTAGCATACGTGTTTGCTTTTAAAAAGTGAACTATGAATTTTATGAATATGGGAAAATATTCAAAGGCCAAGAGTTATTCTTTCTAAAAAAATAATAACTAAAACTCTACGTAGAAGTAACAATCTTTATAAAAAATTAAAAAATTTAATTAGTCAAGACTCGACGTAGAAGTAACATAGTTTTATCTCACACATGTCACAACTTGTTATCGAAAAGTCCTAAACAAAGATAAAATTGCCTCAAAGTAAATTTAATTATTTAATAATAATCTAATCTACCTCTACAATCAATTTATTTTAACAATTATTTTCTTCATGTAGCCATTAAGTTGCAACAAGTTTATAAAAAAAATAATGTTACACATAAAGTTTGTTGATGCTTTTACCTTAAATATATATTGTTGTATAAATTGTAACATCTTTAATTTCTATACCCAAATAAAAAAAACATTAATATTCATTTAAAGTTATAGAAGTATGATTAAAAAGTTCTAGAAATAAGTTTATTTATTGAGAAAATAAAGTAAATAACTTTATGTTTAAATAATATGGAAACATATAATCTAGAATTCTATAAAATAAATTTTTGGAATAAAAGTTATCATCAACTGAGAAATTAGTATCCTATGCCTGTAAATATTCACTTTAAAGAAAAAGAAAAATTTGTTCACAAGATCAAATATAGAAAGGAATTTAGATTAATTAAGTGCACAAAGTATAATCATTTTTAAATTTAATAAATTTTATAAAAAATTTTAAATTTAATAAATTTGAATTTATTATTATTTTTAATTTGATAAGTTTTATAAATTTTCAAAAATATTTAAATTACTAATAATAAATAAGACTAAACTAAAGAAAAAAATTAAAATAAAAAGTAAATTGTGAAAAATTTAAAGATAACATTTAAATTACATAGCATAATCAAGAAGAGAATTAACACCTAAAAAATTTCTTATTTAAAATCGCTATTAGAAATACTTTTATTTAAAAATTCAGACATAAATTATATAGGGATGGATTATTTCATTCTTATTGCAGATTATTAGCTCGAAACTTGTTCAATAAAACCACAAATTCAAAGAAATAGTAAATTTCTAATAATATTAAATATTTGTTTATTTTTAAAAATTAGACTTTCTTAATTTCTATAAAAAAAAGTATACATTTTTATTTTTAAAAATTACAGTATATATATTTTTATATATTAAGGAAAGAATAAATTTCATTATTTTGATTTTATACAAGGTTTAAAATAAATAAAAAATTTCAAAAAAAATCATGGTATAAACATAACATTTTTTTTATATACTTTAATGAAAAGTACGAAATAATCAAACGTTATTATTATTATTTGTTGATACTCCAAACAGTCGAGCCCACACCCTACCCTAAAGAAAAGTCAATGTAGCACCTCATCTTTGACGACACGATTTCAACAAAAGATAAAAAAAGATGGACGACTATTACAGTGACGCTTCCAACGAGTTCTATATGATTACTATACCTCGTCGTATCAACGTTACAATTTCAAGGTTGGTTTATTTTTTTATATATAAATTATGTAAAAAGATCATTTCACGTTAATGACTCATACCTTCGATTCAAATTTTTTATTTAATTTATATCTAATAGTTTATGTAAATAAAAGATAAATTATTATATATAAATAAAATGAAAAACTTAAATCAATTGTAAGAATTTTTAGATTTACACTAATATAATTTTTTTTACCTTATATATATATATATATTTGTTATAAACTTTTTCTTAATTAATGTATTTCTTGTTTGAGTGAGAATATAA